CGCTTCAAAACTCCACCAGCCCCGCCCACTTACATTGAGTGGGAGTCATTGATGCACTTTTGAAGCGCATTTTCAAGGACCTAGCGCATGAATTGAGGGGTGGTGTTTGAACTGTGGTGTACTTAGGGGATATACCACCCAACACCGCTAGAATCCAAGAAAGGTCCATTTTGTCTGTCCACCGCCTGCGAGTTGTTCTTTCATTCTAACGCTTCGGCAATAATGCCTTCCTCAGGCTGAAAGAAAGTCTCACACTGTTTCGCATCAAGTGAGATCAAATCTCTCTTTTCAACTAGCTTGTCTTGATGCTTTGGGGGCAAACATGCCGAGGTAATCGTTGTGCAGCTTCGACTGTTTCGCGAGGAATGGTGCGAGACAACTATGTTTGGAATGGCCTAAAAAATCAAACGCCATCAACCTAGATAGGCGGAATTGATCGGTTCTTAGCGTGCGCGTCAATGAACACTTGGCTAGTAAAAGACGAGAAAGCATGTCAAGCCCGCTAGGGAAACACAGAAAGTAGAACATCACTGCAATGATCGATACAGGTGCATCATTATAGGTCACGAACCGAGAATCGCTGCTCGCAATTACCCGCGAACCGAGAATGGAAGCAATGAGCATCTCTCCATCTTAAATGACTTGACGCCAGTTCTGCCATATTGTCAGTGATAGATAGCATACTACTACTTAAGCTATCCGCATCGGTCAACCATAGCCTACCACAGTTGATTTTGAACGTTGTCGAGATCTCGGTGGAAATCTTGGCACGCTCGCAACGTAATATCTCAGCACATTTGTTCCCGAGGCATCGAGCTAAGCTAGTTGAGAAGATAGATTTGAACCCTACATGGTGCAAATGTGATATTTCTTTCAGTCTCTGAGGAACGCATTATTGTCGAAACCTTGGACAGAATGAACAACTCAACAAAGCTCCGTGGCTTCATTATCTTTAGAAAATCCTCTTTTGTTTGCCCTACCAAAACACTGACACGAAATACATATTCAAATCATTGTTTGGAGAACATAACAAAAATAATTTTCATGTTTATCATGTATTTTCAAGTTGAAGGCAGTTTTGTCGTATGATATTGTTATGGAAGATAGCCAAACTCTCATTTGTTGGACAAAACTGGAGCGAGATATTCTGACGACTTCTCCACCCTCTAATTTCAGAGAAGGAATGGATCTTTGAGATGGGCCCACCAAACTTGTTGCAAAAAATTACACTTTATTGCACGCAGTTTATGCTAATCCCGCCAAAGCTGGTGCACTTTTGCACTAAGTAAGAGCCTAAAGAAAGCAGTTTCTCTACTATTCATCAAGCTCTTGGTCCTTGCAAACTTTAGAGGCTACGACGGGAGGTGCATCTAAATAGCTTGTTTATACTATCATATTGCAGCACAGTTATAATGGTATAGCTTTTCAATTTGATTTGTTGAACTTGCATCGCTTCTGCATCAACTACAATAGAACAACAACATAATACGTCTGGTCATTACCGGAACATTTTCCATGGTATTCCGAAGAAGCGGTGGTTGTTGTTCAGCAGGATTACCTATGTCCTTCTCATCTCTTGTCATAGTATTTTGTATTATCTAAAAAGTTGTTTGATTTGAAATGATTTAGTTTATACAAATTTACTTTATTTATGTTCTTATCATTGTCTATTTCTCCAAGTGCATTCAAGTAATCGTCAAAATTTTGCTTTTCAGCAGCGTCAGGTTCTTCTATATCGGAGGTGACATCTTGGGTCTGCCAAAGTGGTTTTAGATTCATCATGATATTGGTGATATTGTATTAACATACCTCTCCTTCTCTCACCTCCTTGATTTTCCCTTTGGTAGTATCTCCTGTTTTACTGTCCACAGGTTCTGCTGTTTTTTCGCTACTCTGTTCCTGTGTTCTGTCCAGCACTTTCAGCTAAATTCACTCATTGGTATCCTCCTAGATGCAAACTATTTCAACCGAAAGACATTTTTTGTTCGAAGCCTTCCTGATAATTCATGGAACAATTTAAGTAGCATTATGCTGGTTTGTTCCAAGTTTGTTTTTATCTAATAAGTTCCTCTAAATGCCAGATTCTAAGTGTTATTTGAGCAAACGAATGCGCGGTCTGGACAGAATCCTCGTTACCGTCCTTTCAGCGCTCTAGAGTAGTGTTGATCTTGAGCACAATATGTATAAATCATCCAGTTTCCTGAGAAACACCTCTAGTCATTGAACCCTTCTTAAAATTTCGTTCCAGCAGCGCTTTAATTTTCGACCGAAATGATATCCGGCATTGAGAGGCGCATGATAGTCAACGAGTGGGATCAACGTGGAATGCCTCCAAGACGTTAGAGACTCATGTGGCAAGACTATAACTGAAACGCACATTTAATTTTCTCAATTTTGATGTTTTCGACGTCACTCTTTCTCCTGTGCAGATCTTGTCTTTCTGCCGTTTTCGTTGACGACGCTACAAATGGGTAACTGAGTAACTACATAAATGAAAGCAGCAAACCAACAGTTCTCCTCCGCCTCTTGATACGTCTTTTATGTTCTTTTCGTTTCTGCAATAATAGCTCCATCAAAAACTCGATACTAGCTAGGAATCCTA